AGGGAGCATGGCTGTCTGGGGGGGCTGTGTCCCCCTTCCCCGATGGCGGTTTGGGCTGGGCCAAGCAGGGGCATGGCTCATAGGAGTGGGGAGAACCCGACACCCAATCCACTTGGGCTTCTGTGCCCTGCTCGCCCGTCTCCTCCCCGGGCCGCGGGATCGGCCGTTGGAAAGGGAGGCGGCTGCTTCTCCAGGGGCAACTGGCAGGTTTTGGTAGGTTCATTTCATTAGGTGTAACTGGTGAATTGATTAAAAGGGGGTGGGCAGGGGGGCCATGCAGCCCACTAGGCTGGAGTGCCCCCCCCACCACAGCCAGGCTGGAGGGGGCCCCGCACTGCAGGGCTGTGGCTCCCGCTTCTGCCCCCCATCCCACCCCTGCGAGGCTGCCACCCGGTTACCCATTGGCATCCCAGCCACGCTCGGCCTGGGTGACGGTGCTGCCGGGGGTCACCAGGCAGGCTGGGGTTAGCGCTGGCCGGTGAAGGTAACGCTCCGTGCCGGGCTTCGTTTGGATTGCAGCGCGGGGCCGGCGGCCGGCGATCTCACACGCACCGGGCCATAATCGTAAAGTATCTTCGGATCTCCAGGGCTGCGTCCACTCGTCACTGGGAGACGGGGGCTGATTCCGGGAGAGGCCAGGCCAAACCTAGCGGGAGGGCAGAAAGCTGGCTAGCAAACCCAGTCGGGCCTCCCAGGCCAGGCCACTCCTGGTTTCTCTCCCCAGCTCAGCGGGAATTGGAGACGCTGGGGGACCGTGCGTCTCCTGAGCCTCTTCCAGAGCAGAAGGGAGCCGGCTCGCTGCCCTGCGACGTACCCAGAGTGGGACAGGAAAAGGGAGCTTAGGGCCTGGGCCTGGACTTGTGGCAAAAGTTCTGAGCGCGCTTCCCCCGCAGCCCCGCCCCGAGCCCCGCCGCTGGCTCTGCTCGCTCTGCGCCGGCCCTGGCTGTTGAGATGAGCCTCGGCCAAGACCCCTGGGCGGCCGGGCAGGGGCCTGTGCTTTCGCTCTGGGGG